TGGAAGCGCCATGGTGGGGACTTCTCATTAACACCCCTGCATGTCCATAAGAGCCCCTCCCAGCTGGAGCAGTGCCTATTGCCCTATGTGGGTGTGGGGGTCGCCACCAGCCCACGCCCCCTCCCCCCCCCCCGCACGGGACTGGCTCCCCTCTGGTAGCCCCGGTGATGTGAGGCTCGTTTTTCAGACATGCCGGTCGATCTGGCTATTTCCGGCCGGGGGGGCGTCTCTGGGGGACTGTGCCGACCCGCGAGGTCTTTCCGGAACCTCGGGCATGAACATCACCAGCAAGCTGCTATTCAGCATGTGCCGGAGGATGGATACAACTCCGTTTTTAGGCAAACATTTAAGATGGTCACTAATTCAACTGCTTAGCAACCTGCAAAACCCATCGGCAGATCGGCAGGTCTTAAATTTGATATTGCATTTATTCATGTATTTATTTAGCTATTTAACTAAATATGTATCTGTTTTTAAATAGCTGTACACCATTTATTACTCAAATATTCTACAGGGGAGCTACATTTTATGCTGCTATATTTACATTTTATGTATTTAACAGATGCTTTTTGCCAAAGTAATGTAAATTTCATGAGAAAGGAGGGTCAGATGGTTCATGGAACAAGTGAAGGTCATGGGCGCAGCAATGAAGCCACTCTGCCAAGCATGGGATTTGAACCAGCGACCTTCTGCTCTTGAGTCGCATCTTAATTCTCTTCGTCCAAAGCAAGATAGAGCAGAGTCCACCAGCATCCCTCATCGGCCCATCGGTGATGCGATCACCCTGCCGGTCACAAGGTTTGAACCCATGATCTCCCATGATCTCTTGAGCACGGATCCTTAATCTTCAGGGCTACACGCCGCCCACACTTCCTTTACAGGGACTTTAGCACATGTTACATAACATATCAGGAACCAAATCTTTCTTCTGTACATTTGGGCCAATTGCAGACAAGCACAGGCCACAGACAGATTTATTGCTGTTCTCTTTTTCCTGGCTGGAGCATCAGGTCATTCCAAAGTTTTCCAATTTGTATGCCTCCTGCAAGTAAATGGAGGTCCTGCATCATAACGGGGGGGGGCAGCACTGTCCTTCAGGAAGAGGACAGCGGGCGGCCATTTGCATGTGGGGCTCATCAGCAAAGAAGTATAAGCAGAGCGAAGCGACACTGAGGCCATGGTGCTCATGCTTTGGCGGACAGCCAGACAGACGCCATGA